GACATGTTCATCAACAGTTTGCAGGGCTCTTATTTTGAAAGAATGGCTGGTTGTACGCCATCAAGCTTCTCTAACCTTGTGATTGTAGGAGAGCGCCTCGAAAGTTACCTCAAAAGTGGACAAATCCAGGACGCATCAGGCAGCCAGGCCAGTGAGATTGAATCTTTCGATGATTTCCATGAGGAAGAGAAGGATGAAACCAGCGCACTCATAGCAAACGTTGAGTATTCTCACGATGTACCAACAAAACTCTATAGTCCCTCGTCTACTCAACAGGCATCATTACCAGTGCCATGTTATCCTCATGGACAATCGGCCATGCCTAAAGCTTCATCCCATAAGCCACGGGTCGCTCCTCATGCAAATCAACGAGCCCATGGCCGAGGTCATCCGAATCAGCGCCGCGATCAGAATAGGCCCAACAACAACTTGGAAAGGAGGACTGCTCCTCTTCATCCAGTCCCTATGTCGCACAGTCAGCTTCTCCCACATCTGATTCAAAACTCATTGGTGGAGCCTAAGACTCTTAAGCCTGTGCCAGAACCTTATCCTCCGGGGTACAATCCCAAAGCTCAGTGTGGATATCATGGTGGATCCATGGGGCACTCGACTGAAGAATGCAAAGCCTTCCAAGCAAAAGTGCAACAGTTGATCGACAAAGGATACATCTCGTTTCCAGAAGGGAGTTTGGTCGTTCATGTCAACCTTTCAGCTGTCTAAGCTCGAAGATTTCAAGGGTCATTCCCAAAGGCCAGTGTGGTCCAGACAGGCAGACGTCCTCGACATTGGCAGTCTTTAGGCGCTTTTTATCATTTGCATCTTGTAGTTTATTTCCTGTTAATTGCTACTTGTGTTTAAACATTGTTGTGTTGAATGGTAATATTAATGAAGTGATTATGCATTTTCCGAATCAGTCACGTCATATTCACTCATTATTTCCACTTATCACAGACACATACACCTTTCTATTCACTCCACTTTATCACTGTTGTTTTAGCAAAGATTAGAAGGAGGATGACGAAAACGAAATACCCATAATTGCAAACTGTATGCTTTCGGACAGAATCTCGTCAATGATGTACAGGCATTGTTTCAAATCCCCTAAACACCGGAGTTATAAGGAGTTAATCCCTAGTCAACCACTTCGAGCCTAGAAGTAGGAGTTTCCTTCGGATATTCAAACCCTTACACTCAACCTGGGGCAGGGTAGTGTTCAGTTAATCTAACCCCGCATTCAAATCAACAAAGCAAAAATCCAAAAGACAAGATGGTCGTTCATCAATGACCCATGACATGGCAGTCACAATCCTCCAACAAAATCCAAAAAAAATCAATCAAAAGCCTGCTAGGTCAAACACCTCAAAAGGGGACAGGCAAAAATCAGGGCTATCCCGATGGATCTGACAAGCAAAATCAGTCCATGCAAAAGTTAGGGATCAAAAACCAAATCAAAAGAGGTTTTTTAACCTTCAACCAAAAACAAAATAACATTCAGTGGTCACCCCAAAGGGTCACTGACATCCTTCAAAAAGCAAAATAAGGTGGCTGCCATTTCAAGCAAACCTTGAACCGTCAAGCTTACACCGTCAAGGTAAGTGCAGAATTAACTGAGCGTAGGTATGGAAGTCATCAAGAAGAAGGGGTGGGTACAAATTAACTTTGAGCCTAATATCCTTTGTTTCTATAACCGTGAGCCAGACCACGCTACAACCCTCAAAAGACCTAATTGAGGCAAGATTTAATCTGAAAACATACTATCGCAAGGTTGCGTAACCTGACTCCCAACATATTTGTTAATCATCAGCTTTGGTGTCAATATCCTTGCTATATCTTTTACACCAATCAAATTAGCACAACGTTTGGACTAACGGTCCATTCGTCTCACTACCACGACACTCAATAAACGACAATTCTTTCAAAAAACTTGCATGAATTTCGCGTTAAAATTACCATTTGTGAACAAACAATTTTAATTGCAAGTCAGTAGTTGGCATAGAGGAAATTCCAACACGAAGCAATCAAGCAGGACTGGATCATTCAGCAGTCTGGATCAGTCTGAGGCAAATCCCCAAGCAATGGTCGATCATGGGGCAAATCATTCAAGAAGCGGTTGATCAAAAGTGAATTATACCAATTAGGGGGCAGGCCACCTAGAGTTTCTTTGACTTGAGGATAGATCCCTTCAATTATCAATCTGGATAAGTTAAGTCGCTTCAACGCTCTTTCAAGAGCAAGCTACTCCAAAGAGTATATCAAAGCCAACCACAAGAGTCGGTTAAACAATGATAAATCCTTTCGTGGTACAAACTCTGGGGCAAGCCATCTCAAGGTCGTCTCATTGGCAAGTTATTCAAGCAAGTTCATCCTCATCAACAATTGTTGAGTTCAAAACGAGTGTTGGGGAATCATACCATCACCTCACCCAAATAACCTTAACCTTCCGAAAAGGCCTTGCTGTCATTGGATTCTTCATCCCACAGCCTAAACCTGTTAAAACCTTGTAACCTTCAAACCTCCAAAGTCCAGTTCTCGCCTGGCAAACCTTCAAACCAGTCCCATCTGGTAAACCCTTCACTTTGTACCAGTTCCATCTGGTCAAACCTTTAAACTTTCAAACCAGTCCTCGTCTGGTCAACCTATCGCTGAATACCAATTCTCGTTCGGTATATGTCAGCTTTCAAACCAGTCCTCGTCTGGTCAACCTTTCGCTGAATACCAGTTCTCGTCCGGTATATGTCAGCTTTCAAACCAGTCCCATCTGGTCAACCCTATGCTGAATACCAATTCCCGCTTGATATATGTCAGCTTTTTAAACCAGCTCTCATCTGGTCACCTTTCCTTTTAGCCTACCATTTCACCAGTTCTCGTCTGGTAAACCTCATTCCAAAGTCCAGCTCCCATCTGGCAAACAACAAAATTAGCCCTCCTTTGACAGCTTAAGCTTTCGCCACCAGTCCTTATCTGGCGGTCTACCCTTCGAATACCAGTCTTCCTCTGGTACTTTCAACCCAAAGTACAGCCTGCATTGGCAACCACCAAAGCCCAACCTGCATTTCCAATCACTTGCATTTCCATTACCTATCTGCAATCATATGCATCATACGCATCGCATTCGACTTCATAAGCATCTTGCATCATATGCATATCAAGAATCATATCATACTTTCCTCAGCTCTCGCATCTCCGTGCATCAGCATTTGCATTTGCATTTCCATTTGTGGAACATCTTTATCATTCAGCATTAGCATATGTGAGTTCAGATCCAAGATCAATTTTGAAGAGTTTCAATATCATCATCAGCCCAGTCAGGGGCATCCCTTGCAAGATCGTGGTTTTCTCCCACGAGAGTCAGAGGATATCAAGATCATCATCAGCCCGATCAGGGGCGTTATATGCAAAAATCGTGGGTCCTCCCACAAAATTCAAAGAACTTCAATGACAAATTCAGCCCAGTCAGGGGCATCTTTTCAAGACCATGGGTGTATCGCACGATGTATTCCAACCCCGTGGTTAATCAGATCTTCAAATCAATATTCAGCCCAGACAGGGGCATATTCAGTAAAAGCTATGGGCGATCCCCAGTGATTTTGTCTCCAACAGACTTGACTATCCATCTTCAGTGATAAGTGGCAATCTCTTCAGAGAAGCTTATCCATCTTCAGAGATAAGTGGCAATCTCTTCAGAGAAGCTTATCCATCTTCAGAGATAAGTGGCAATCTCTTCAGAGAAGCTTATCCATCTTCAGAGATAAGTGGCAATCTCTTCAGAGAAGCTTATCCATCTTCAGTGATAAGTGGCAATCTCTTCAGAGAAGCTTATCCATCTTCAGTGATAAGTGGCAATCTCTTCAGAGAAGCTTATCCATCTTCAGTGATAAGTGGCAATCTCTTCAGAGAAGCTTATCCATCTTCAGTGATAAGTGGCAATCTCTTCAGAGAAGCTTATCCATCTTCAGTGATAAGTGGCAATCTCTTCAGAGAAGCTTATCCATCTTCAGTGATAAGTGGCAATCTCTTCAGAGAAGCTTATCCATCTTCAGTGATAAGTGGCAATCTCTTCAGAGAAGCTTATCCATCTTCAGTGATAAGTGGCAATCTCTTTAGAGAAGCTTATCCTCCTACATCCTTTTGGTTTTAGGATTGATCTTGCTCCGCTCCATCATCCTTTGGGTGATGGGTCTGGCATCCTTTTGGTGTCATGACTAGCGTTTGCCCTCCACTATCATTTTGGTAGTGGATCCCTTGCATCCTTTTGATGTACAAGCAGTGTGTGTGAGTGTACTATCATCCTTTTATTGATAGGCTTGTCACCCTTTTGGTGTCAAGTTTTCTCCGTTAACATCCTTTTGGTGTTAGCAACCTTTGTAAGATATCCAGTATTTCATTCCCGAGCTTTTATTTCTTTTTGGACAAATTTAGGATATTCTTTGTATCTAATTGACTTCTACCTTGAAAAATGAACGCTGCAACATTTCATCTTACTAGGTTTAAGCCAATTAGATAGGGGCATCTGTCATACCCTAAATTTGTCCCACTTGTGTATATCTTTCATATGTGTATCCATCTACCAACTATATCTAAAAAATCAAAAAAATATGTTGTTTCCACTCGTCATTCAATTTTGTGTAAGGTTGAAATACGCGCGTATAGGGTATATGCCTGAAGATCCAATTAAGGTTTCTACTTATGCAAGTTGTCAGGTGGCGCCAAATTCATACGATTCATGGCTGAGAAATCACCAAAGATCGGTTCATTTTCAGTTAGAGCCTTGGGCTCTGTAGTTCACATCTCAGGCCATTATCTTTTGATTTAGAGACACTTATTGCTCATTTGGTTCCTGGTGAAGGGGTTATGGCATCATCAGTATAACTAAAACAAGTTAACTGCACCGAAACATAATAAAAGCAAAAAAAAGAAAAAAAACATAATTTTCACTTTAGTTGAAGGATCTTCTCTATATTCTTCTATCGAGAATTGTTTTGAATTCGGAATTCAGAAAAATGTCTTCAACTGAAAACAATAACAAATCGAGTTCCAGAATCACATGGGAAGGTTGCAGCGTCTTGCTTGATATCAACGACGGCGACCGTCTCGTCTTCGCCCGTCTCTCCCCTGCAGCGAAATTGAAGATTGGTAAGAAGAATTGTTCATTGCATTCATTGATTGGTTGTCCCTTTGGTACTGTTTTTCAACTCGACACTTCTTCCGACGGTCCTTTTCTATCGCCATTCCAACCTGAAGGTGATGTAAATAACGCCGACGAAATAAAAGATGGTCATTTCCAAGACGAGTCAAAAGATGATCAACTCAATAGTGAGTTGAAGGACAACCGGTCCCTGATCGACAATAATACTGCGCAAAGCCTCACTGGTGAAGATATAGAAGACATGCGAAAACAGGGTGCTAAGGGTAATGAAATAGTTGATGCTCTCATTGCCAATAGTGCATCATTTGATAAGAAAACATCATTCTCACAGGAGAAATATAGACGAAAGAAGCAGAAGAAATATGCACCAAGGGTACTTATAAAGCGTCCTGTTGCTCGAAGCATATGTGAGGCCTATTTCAAGAAGAATCCATTGAAAATTGGGTTCTTGAGGGTGGATACATTGTCTCTTCTACTTTCAATGGCTAATGTTTCTTCTAATTCTGACATTCTTGTCGTTGATATGGTTGGTGGCATTCTTACTGGTGCTGTGGCAGAACGTTTAGGAGGCACTGGTTTTGTATGCAACTCATATCTTGGACAGACACCACATTCCATGGATATTGTGAGGATATTTAATTTAAGTGATGAAATCTGCAATAGGAAGAAAGTCATCAATCAAAATTATTTGAGTTTATTATTTTCCAGCTTCATGACAAAGGAAAGGTCCTTCATGGCATATGATATTACACACCACCACAGAATAAAAGAATGGGACAATACCAACGACCATCACCGTAATTTCACGAGTCACAGCCTCTTGTACAACCACTTCAAGACTCCAAGACAAATTACAATGGACATCTTCTTTTCTAGTACAGCACGCGGGCAGCTCGTGTCGAATGAGCCATCTTGTTCTCAGCTTTTATGGACAAAAATGTCAATTAGTTTCTTTTACCAAGCTGCTAGCAAGACAACTTGTACTACCGAAAAAACCGCAATTACCAACATACCCACAACGTTCCAAAATGGCACCTGCAAAATCACAAGAGAGGAAATCCATTACGCGGGGTCATGAGCCACCATCAATTCACTAACAGCAAAAACAAAAGGAGGAAAATTAGAAATTATGGACTGGTACAACAATGTAAAGCAAGCCTTCACAATACCACAAACTTTTCCAATAACCACAACATGCCAACCAACAGCCTGCTGCAAGCCGTCCCTGCTGCACTCAGACAACCAGCCTGCTGCACCAAGTCCACACCAGACAATCTCTGCACAAGCGGTACAAAAACCTGCGACCTGCATCATCAGCTTGGCCATAAGGCATTCACCAAAACCGCTAACCACACACTGATTGAAGATTTGCTGCAAATATTGCCCAACACAAATAGAACCATTACCATGTTTAGCCACACATAACCTGCAGAAGAGACACCTCCCAAAAATTAGCCAAAACTTCTGCAGAATAAAAAAAAAAAACAACGAAATGGACAAACCACAAGCCACAGAACCGTGCATAACACACCAGACCAGACATGCTGCTGTCAGTACAACTATGACCAAAAACACTTGTGGACTGTGCTCTGCTGCCCCCTGTTATCAACCCTGCATAACCTGCTATCACTGCTAAAAAAAAACATAACCACAACTCATACCCTGCTACACAGGCACCACACTCAGCAACAATCCCAACAATCAACTCCAATCTTCAATATAAAACCTTTCTTTGCTGATACAAAATAAAAAGGAGTTCTAATCCTCTTCAATAAAAAAAACCTCCCTTCCAACTTGAACGGATCTCTCTCATTTTTTCCCTTGAACAACAACAAACTCAGAAAACTTTAAACCAACATCTTTCTTCTATATCTTTTTCTTCATCACATTGAATACCTCTCCACCATTTTCCAAACTTCAACCTTTTTCCACTTCTGCAATTTAACACCAAAACTGTCAACCATAAACAAACAACGGCAACCTCAAAGCCACCACCATCACTCCTTCAAACTTCTGATAAACAACCGCCCATTCACCAGCGTTCTCCACACACAAAAACCCAGTTGTGTACTTCAATCTCCAACCCACTCCATAACCTTCATCTCCTTCGGCTTCATCACCTTCGAAATGGCGGAACCCATCACCCTCAACTTCAATCAGAACCCAGAAACGCACCTACACCATCGCATGAGCTTTCGTTTCCATCAACCCAAACCAATCTCCTTTTCTTCTCCGTGAAATTAACCCAATCCGCAAATCTCAACTTCCACTCGCAAACCAACGATATCAACCCCCAAACCTCCGAAATCCTTATCAAAAGATTCGATTGAGAGATGAAATGAAGTTAAGTGAAAACAACACAGGATAATCCAAACTTCAATCGAACCTGAAATCTTTTAAACCTGAATCAAGGTGATAAAGTTGGAGCCAAAATCAGAGTAAGAGCAAGGATAGATTGATGTCGTCTCTGGGTCTTCTTCTTCGTCGAAGAGTCTCGCAACAGCCATTAATCAAACACTTCACCTCACGATTTTCTCCTTCCCCGAATCTATTTCCCCATCAACCGTTCAACTTCACCGTTCTCAAAACCTCCAGATTTTGAAACCCTTCTTCTTCAACCAACAACCACACACAAACTCATAAACCCTAAATCACAAATCCCTTGAATGTTTCTCAAATCAAGCAACTCCAACCACTTAACCCTCTTCTTCTTCAACTTCCATCAAAGAACCCTTCATCACAGAACCGTCATCCCTCAACTAACCCCAAACGAAATCCTCGGTGAAATACCCCTATCTGACCTCATCTTCCATTTCGAATACCCTTCAACAAAACATCAATTTGATTTCAAAATTAGACCAGAAACGAAAACTGAAACGATTCAGAACAGAGAGATGAACAGGTGAAAGGGAGAGAGGGGTTCGAACCATATTTTCGAGCGAGATCAATCCGAGATGAAAAAGAAGTTGGTTCCGTGAATGCTCTGACCCTCCATGGTTTCGTCGTTGAGGTTATGACACCTCATAATTTGATACTTGTTGATTTTTCTTCTTCTTTGTTTTTTTTTATTTTTATTCTTTCTAATTGGTTTGTCTTGATTTTTCTTGCTTTTAATGGAGATGATGTGTCACCGCTTGAATTACAGTAAGCTGATTATTCAGCTTTTTATTGTTTTTTTTTTATTTTTAAAATAAATAGGTTTCACCTTGTTTTTACATTTTGATTAAGTTGTGTTGACTAGTTTGGCTGATTGGGCTTTATTTGAAGTCCTGTTGTGGCTCAGCAACCGCCATACATATTCAATATACACCCCTACCCTTTTTCTTGAATCTCTTTCAAAAGTTTTTTTTTTATATATATAATGTTTTACAAATAGTCTTCTTAAAACAATTTTGATGACTTCTATTTTATGTATATTGTTCTTTTGTTAATATTTTAAACTAATAGTATAAGTTTTCTTTAGTAAATAAATTTGGGGTATACTTTTGACTTTATTATTATTCAGTTCTGTTTGGGTCGATGACGAGACCTCCGTAATTCATTACCAGTCAAATTATTGATGAGTAATGTTGGATCTGAGACCACCTATTTTCTCTCTTCGTCACCTGTCCCGCCTCGATTCAAAAACTTTGTCAAACAATTTTCAAAATCAAATTATCTTTGCATTGAATTAAAAAGAGGGGATTAAGTGTAGACTTTCTTCCTCTCCGAGTGTTGGGATGCCCACTGTAGTGAGGGTGGTTCCGACACTCGTCTTTCAATACGAAGACGTTTCCCATCCATTTTCAAATCTCATCTCCCTAAAATCATTTCTTTGTATTGAATTCAACGAGAGGATTGGGTGTAGACCCCTTCTTCTTCGAGCGTAGGGATGCCCACTGTAGTGAGGGTGGTCTCGATGCTCGTCTGTCAATACAAAGACGCTTCCAACATTTCCTCATAAAACCTCGGTCTCGTACTGAGTATACTTTCAATAATAAACTATTTTCTCTTTGTATTGAATTAAAAGAGAGGATTAGGTGTAGACCTCTTCCTCTCCGAATGTTGGGATGCCCACTGTAGTGAGGGTGGTCTTGATATTCGTCTTTCAATACGAAGACGCGACTTTATCCACCATCTCGCTTTCACAACTTCATCCCGCAACCCTTGTCACCTAAAACCTCGGTCCTGTACCGAGTGCATTGTCAAATCTTTTCATCATAAAACTTGAATGGTCGTGGAGTGGTTAGGCGTAGGTCTTCTCCTATCCCGAGTGCTGACGTTTACCGTAGGGTTCTCTGTCGCAAAGCACTTACCATTCAAAACCAAAAACATCTTTAATAAGAGAATGAAGTTCTCTTTGCATTGAATTAAAGAGAGATGATTGGGTGTAGACCTCTTCTTCTCCGAGCGTAGGGATGCCCACTGTAGTGAGGGTGATTTCGACGCTCGTCTTTCAATACGAAGACGCCTCGTTCGCCACACCTTTTTATAACAAAAACTTTGAGATAACGAATTGGGTACTACCCGTAGGGGTTACTATCTGAGGACTTGTCTCGCCCCCTAAAAACAATCCAATCAATCAAACGTGACTTCTTGCCCCGCGTGGCGAAAACTAATCAATCTTTCAAAAGGATATGTTACGTCCGTTCTACCGCAAACAGGTAACGCCTAAGTCTCCAACGAGCGAGCAGCAAAACACCTAACTGCTAGAATGCGCACGATAGCATCATCCATAAAAAAACATCAACACACCGTAGGCCGAACTACGGCTGCTCTGATTCTTTACTTCTTTTTGAGTAAAGATACGTAGGCACAAGGGCCACAATCCTTGCCGAGTGTCGCTACTGCGAAAATCGGCGCCGGCTTGACAGGAGAGTCGCCACCGTGCGTTATTTATCCCTCAGAACGGGAAAGGAAACGCTCGAAGTAAACCTCGCAAAGACGGGAAAAGGTATGGTCATCGCAACCAAAACCTGGATTCGGGAGTCGGTTACGTAAGGGGAAGGTATTAGCACCCCTCACGTCCATCGTACTCGATGGGATCCACGCTTGGTGTTTATAGGTAAAAGGGTGTATTATCTATCTACGCTAATGGTTGGTCTGAAAAGAAAATAAAAGGACAGGACTCGACAGAACATACGGTGTTCTGGGCCTACGTATTCCCTCGTGCAATGGGAAAGTCAGAGTCAACGTAGTTCGACTACCTACGCCTAAACGGGGGAAAGGTTGCTCGCCAGGACATCGCGTCCTGTGCCTACGTACTTTCATCTGGTATGAAAGATCAGAGCAAACGTAGTTCGGCTAACTACGGGTAAACAGGGGCTCTCACACAGCAGTGAGAAAACAAACTGGTCTCTAAGGCTCGGGAACCTACAAATACGATCTGGTTTCAAATGCGCTCAGGCAAGAGAAAGGGATAACAATTAGTCGTTAGCGGGAAAGTCTCGATCGCACAGCCGCGAGAGAACAACGGTTAGTCGTTAGTGTGCTCGCTAGGATATCGCATCCTATGCCTACATATCTTCGTCTGGAACGAAGAATCAGAGCAGCTGTAGTTCAGCTAACTACGGGTCAAGCTACTCAAAAGCTCCTACAGAAAGGAAAGGGAAACCCTAGAACTATAGCTGAGAAACAGGGGAATCTACCTACTGCTACCTCACCTGGTTGACCATCCTAATGTCTATCATAACAACTCCGCAGCGGAGAAGTCAGAGCTCCTAAGGGATCATGGCAACAGGACTAAACCACAAACAAGAAACTGCAGAGTAAAGAAATACTGAAAATATGCATGAATGCAACAACTAGACAAACAAGGCACAGAGGCCGCAAACCACAGAGGCAAGGGAGCTCAGCTCTACCAAATACCAACAAGCAAAGCCACTCAATAACAAACAAGCAGAAGGAGGACCACCTCAACTTCTCATGCACACAAAGTCTACTTCTAAGATGCACCTATTCAGAACTATCTAGATGAATACCTAAGTCTAATGCAACATAACATCACACAAGTCAAACAATACAAAGAGACTAACCCTGAGCAGGGCCTCTAACAAACCTGAAACAATCTCCTAATCTATCCCTAAACAAAACTCTATG